GATACGTGCTGATGTCGCAAAAAGGTCCTTCCTCGCAAACACTCCAACCGACACTTTCGTGAGGTGACGGAAAAAAGCGAAGACTCTCTTATAGTTGCACTTTATGCAGTTTCGCCCACCCCTCGTGGAAAAGGGCGGCTCTCGAAGGGACGATCGTCCATCGATCCGTCTAGGAACGCCGGCCGGTGGTCTCGTTACGGCTAGAATGCCGGAGCTGCCGGCTAATTATCCCCACGTGGATCGTTCGACGCAACGATCCCTTCTTCCGAAACAACGGAAAACGAAGAAAACATTACGGCGATATCGGTCGAGGGTAATCGAATTGTTCCGGGGAACTTGTGATTCGCAGATGTAATTCCGTTACTACGAGAAGATTAATTTATTTGTGGTCGAATCGACACAATGAAATTATACATTAATAAAAGGAGATGATATTGATCTTGCACAATTTTAAATCGCATGTTCCTTCGTTATTTCTCAGTTAAGTTATATTAAGAATACAATGGAAACTCGTTAATTGCTCGTAATTCCAGATTTACGACGAGCATTTAACGAGTCTTCCGTGTACTTCCAACGTAAGAATAATTTGTACACTTTGACTGTCACGTCGCCCAAACATGGGTAACACGTACATTGCAAAAGGGCTAAATTACTGAAATACCGTTACAAAATTTTTGCGCAAAATTAATATCGCAGTATAATTCAAAACAAGACCAACAGCCTTTATTAACCAAACGCATATATTTCCGATCATTTCTGACTGAAACAAACGAAATAAAGTGTGCCTGGCTACGTACGCCTTTTTCACTGTGGCATCCGGAATACACATGCAATTGAAATGTACACGAAAATCGTTACAACTCGAGATCGATGCCGAGCATTTAATGAATCCCTACATGTCCAGACGAGAACGACGTCGTTTCTTCTTTTTACCGTACTATATGACTTCCCTAATACAGTTTACCTCTAAATAAACGGGAAACGTCGTTAACATCGAAAATTTCACCGGAACCGCGTCGACAACGAGTTTTCCAAGTCCCTCCAGTTCCTGAATTGAAAAATAAGTTTCCCCGTCCCCTGGGGATTCCGCGACGGGCCACCTAGCCCATGAGACATCAAAGGGAGCCGACGTTATCGCGTTCAGCGGAATAACATTAAAAGTTCTGGTTCCGCGGAGGTCGCCCTGAGGCGACGTTTCCAGAGGAACGGAGAGCCCTTTCGTGCCCTCTCGTGATTAAAATTATTGCCCGAACGAAAGTCAACACGTCGGAGCAAACAAAGGATGAACGCGCTCCGCGGGCAGTGATACACGACGTGAGCGTCGAGGATCTCGGAGGGGCAGCCGGCCGCGTGCGATTAGCATCGCAAAATATTTCTCTCGTTTAGCTCGGTGCGCGTGTCGGCTCTGGGTCGTTTGCCCGCGCGCATAGGTTCGAGTCGCGTTTTATATTGCTTTCCTGTGATCTCTTGTCGAGGAGACTGATGAGAGGCGGTGGAGGCGGAGGAGAACAGCGAAAAGACCGAGAAAGCGACACGCGGCAGCCAAACGAACAAGGCTGAGTGAAAGAGAGTGAGAGAGAAGAGAAACCATTGGGAGGGTGGGTAAAAAGCTTTGGTAGAAAGTTGCCGCGGGCAAGCTTTGTAGTTATGGACAAGTTGCACGGCTGGTGACTCTTTCCCTTTCACTTTATCCTTCTCACGCTCGTTTCATCTCATCTGCTTTCACAGAGCGTTGGAGGAGGTGTGGGGGGCAACGCTTCTTGCCTTCTCCCGATCCTTTCCCTTCCGCGCGAACCACCATTTCCCCACCGACCGCCGAACGTGTTCCGTTCTTCTTTTCTTGCTGCCACGGGTTTTTGCTCGTAAGCGACAATCGGGCGTTAAAGTGCGTGAACGTACTCAAAGCACGCGCCGCCGCTTGTATTACCACGAGCACGCACCACTGTAGGCCCTCTCGAAAACAAACGTCCCCCCTCCCCTAGGGCCCTCCCATTCCGGGGCACGCAGTGACTCAATTAATGGAAAGCGCTCGTGAAGCGTCGACGGAGTCGCGTCTTTGTCGAGATATTCGCGGGACTGGGTCAATAAAGACATTGAGATCTCTACGAATACAGTAAATCCTCGATGAGTGACGAAAGTATCTTTCAGCCCAAAAATTGTCCAGTCAATTGATTCATTCTTGAAAATGCAATGACTAATATCCCGAGAAGTACAGTAAATACGCGATGAGTGCTTGAATGCTCCTCGGCATTGACAAGGAGAAGTCCCCAGGTGTAACGCTGACTTTTTAATGAGATTTGGTACAGTGGTAGAGTTTCGAATTCTCAAGCCAATGATATTTGTTTTAGTATACGGCCATTAGTTTATAAAATATTTCATGTTCAGTACCGAAGCTTTCGAACACTCATCAAGGATTTACTGTAATTGTAACGTTCTTGATCACGATTTCCTGGTACGTCGGAGGTCCGTGACCTTGCCGCGATTTCGTTTAGATCCCGGCGATTTCCTCGATCAATCGTCGAGCTGACGACTCGCTACGAACGAGGATGATCCGTCAGCTCGATTGCGCGATTATCTTCTCCTCGAATTGATCTGCAATTTGCGTACACCGCGGGGAAGTTGTTACACGTGTCACGTGAACAGCACGCCCGCCACCTTTACACGTTGTAAAACACTGAGATGATCGTTTGGTAGCAAATGGGGGAGGATTAAGCGATAGGGGGCCGGTGAATTGACTAACACTTATGGTAATAGTTTCCATGTAATGTCGTTTGCGCGTTCTTTTTCAATTGTTGCAACGGTGACGATAAGATTTTAATTCGTGGCAGGTTTAGGATTTATTGATGGATGCTGAAAAGCTGGTCAACCTGTCTGATGACCGGAAATGGAATATTGAAGCCAGTCTTGTCGAAGAATATTGAAGGAACAAGGATCTAACGCGTTCAAATGAAGCTTTTTAGATGTTACGATGACGACGTTGCTAAACTATGCTAACTCGGACAGGATGACTAAGTTATTAGACTAAATGTTTTTTGCACCGGAACGAGTTAAACATCGGTGTCTGTTCTTGCATACTGTTATTACTACTAATACCAAGGAAGCAGTGTCTTTTACGTGGATCTTTTCTTAGCGGTGTGCCGTATAATGCCACTGAAATATTTATTATCAATTTTCAATTTTTATGGTACCCTGATTTATAATTATTGCTGGCGCGAGCACGCGTCGTTAAGTTATTTAATTCGCGCGCATAAATTATGTGGTACATGAATTATGTTCTATCTGTTAATCTGCGAAACTTAATAGCTCCTGTTTTTAGTTATACTAATCACTACGTTCATCAGTACATTTTTTATTTCAATCTAGAAGTCAATTCAATTGGCATGAAAACAAGGAGCACATTCTCCTGAATATTCTATATTTTATAATTTGTTAATAATTTAATTCATCGGCATAAGTCATTATCAGCGTAAAACAGCTAAATGGCACCTCCATATGGCCCAGGGATAAAAACAAAAATTATACGACTCGGCCGCGGCATTTTCTCGTCTACGATCTATCACATCCGAGCGAGGTTTATCATTGACCCTTGAAAATAAATAGCTACCCACCAAATAAGCCCCTTTATCTGCCCCATAAATAGAAAATAGCCTGACTCGATAAGTCTCGTAGACGCTTCGTACCGCTTCCAGATGCTCTGCGGCCCAACATTTCTCATTAATTATCGTCGGGATTTAATTAAATTGTTCTTCATAAATATCTCGCTAATACAACAAACAAAACTTCTCTATAATAAGATATACTGAATAATTCAAACCACTGCATTCTATTTCCCTGGCCACTACTTAAAACATTTTTGTATCCAATACATGATTAACGGTTACAAGACACGTTTAATTTGTTGCATCGGATCCTTTTTGCCAGATATCACCCAAAATACGTTCTCCTCTGACGAGCTCAAATGTTGTAATAGAAATTATAATAATCGATAGTGCTGGATCGTTCGGTGTTCGTATCGGTGCATCCTCGTGCAATCGTCACACCGTACGCGCACGGAGTGATTCATGGTCACGGCGAAATCATGAATAATCACTCAACAATAACCCACGAACACATACGGGCGCATTATTCTCGGCAGATATTCAGAGCAAGCCTGATTATGCCGGGAAAATTACCCCCCGACCGTTCATTTCCACCCAGGAATTGTATTAAATGCGTTACACGAAAATTTCCAATTATTAAGCACCGTACACACGCGGCGCGGATGCGCGCAAGCTTAACGCGGTTGAAGTTTTCATAAAAGAACGCGTCGTAAATCCAATTACCGGGTCAAAACGCGATACCCACGAAGAGCGTTTCATCCGATCGAAAGGTAAAAAGTAACCGGCAGAATGACGTTAATTGCGATGTTACGCAGGTGAAAAAAAAATTCAAGAACGCGGATACACACAAGTATAATTAAACGTTTAAACCCCGCTTAATTAATACGAGAACCATTCGCGGCAACGATTCGTGCTATTAAAGATAAGAACGGCGGACACGCATATTCACGAGAGAACCACTCACAAAACGTCGGATTAATTACAAAAATATAGCGATCAATCGAGCGTAAGGTAATTTCACTCGGCACGGTACCGGTACGCGTAATGACTCGTTTGATACAGTTTCCATCTGGACACAGTTATCTGTTCCCGATTAGCGATCCGGTATCGCGGGACTAACGGTGAGTCGAGGTAATGAAAAACAATCAGGAAACGCCAGTCAATAAGGCACCGAACACTTTTATCATACGGGACACAAAATCGTCGCGCGAGAGATTTCGTAAAGATACGGTGACACGTAACGCTGATCCATGGCTGTATTGACAGAGATCGGGTCAGTTTCTCGAAGGATCGCGAGAATGAGACGCGTCTCGGGTTAATAGAATCGCGTGAAAGGTAAAATATAGTGCCGGGACGGCGAGAGATGCGAGAAAAAGCAATGTCTAGCACGGTGACACCCACCTTGCCAGTGGACCACTCCTCTTCGCTCGTTGACCCAAAATCTTCTCGACCACGGTGACATTCCCACTTCTCGCTGCCTCTAGCAGCTCCTGATCCTTCCCCATGGTCCATTTACACCGTAATCAAGGCCTGATCTTCACCTGCACACTTGTCAATTTCTGTTTTTACTACGATTACTCGCGTTTCATTGATCCAGCGTGGCCATCTTGGGCCGACTGCGTCGTCACCTCGCGGTCACTTCGCGAACACCGGATCGCGCGCGCGACAGAGACGGGAACAACGAGGCTCGGCGTTTATTGGCTGCGTAGAAGAGAGACGAAACGAGCCTAGCGGAGGACTCGATGTGTACCGCGCTCAGGCATGTAGCCGACTGTCAAGTGCCAGCTGTTGCGCCGTACTGATTTTCCATGGTCTCACGCCAGCTTAGCTTACCAGCAATTTAATCGAATAAGTGTGTCACGCGGCATCTACCACTGATCAACATGAGCCGCAGTCTCTTAAGCGAGCCGTTGATCCTTCTATTACTCATCGGTACCGGTTGGTGTGTGCTGAAAGACTCGAAAATCGAAGCTCTCTATGGTAAGCACATAACCTCAAAGTTTGATGCGTTAAACCTTATGAATTTTTACCCCCCCACAAATAGACATTTTAATGTCGGGTCAACGTGCTCCCCTAAAATTTAATCGGTATCTCTCCTAAAATTTCTGGCTCGTGTTACTTTTATTAGGAAGTTTTTGAAATGTAACGACAAGCCTTTGTTTCAATTGTTTCTGTGTATATATATATATATATATATCTGCCTGTTTTAACCTTTCCTGTTTTTGTTTTTGATATAAATATGATGCTTTGAATGCAACTGAGCAAACTTTATTGACTTCATTGATTGTTTTCAGAAAGAGTATCCTTTATATTCATATCTTACATGCATTATTTCTTCCTCGTGAACAATTAAAGGTGCATAGTGAGGTTCTGATAATATTTGAATGGTGGTTGATTTAGGCTATGATAAGTAAATGTAAACAAAGATATTAAACGTTTGATATAACTGGTAGCATTTGATAGCAGTGCTTATCTATTGCCTACAATAACATTGAATATTAAGATATCAATTAATGAGACTGTAGGTTATTGATAACCTTGGTTGTAATCAATAGTCCAGTTTTGTTTTCATTGAGGGTGATTAACATGTTATCCTATTTACTAATAGACCGGATAACATTTATAAAATACATTGTCTGCATATTGTGCATTTTATATCGTCCATCAAGAAATATATTTTAATACTCGTAAAGGTAACAAAGAAATATTTCACTGTCAGTCGCAATGTGTAGAAAATGTAGGAATGGGAAGATGTGCCTGTAAAATTTGGTCAAACATGTTAGCGTTATTATAATAACTTCTAACAAAATGTACCATTGATACTAAGCCTTTATTTAATGAATGTATCTCCTACGTACATTGTACAACACTTTATTTTAAATATACTAAGATGAAGTATGATGTATAAGTAATTATTCAGGGAAATTTTATTATGTCTGTTTCATAAATATTTTCACATTTTATTACATATTTATTTTCAATCAGTCATTACAATTTTTGCGCTCACACAGAACCATTTTCAATAATGTAATAAAAATATTAATGGCATATTAAACGACCTATAATATATAATATAATATACAATATATAATAATACTCTCTCTATATTTGTGTTCAGGTACATACATTGAAATACACAAGAAAGAGAAAAATTCTTTCTATACACATGTATATACAATAAAATAGCACAGAACTATTTGAAAATATTTTATTCAACCTATTGCAAAAATAATGGTTAAACAGTAATATAATAATACATTTTACAGATGGCAGTGTATTACAGATGCCTCTGACTAATCTCGCTAGCAGTGAACCGTTCATCAAACAGATAACTATTGCCCCGAGTAGTAACACTACATTTAATGTAACAAACGTTTCATCCTCCGCTTCGTTTATTATCGTTCAAGTTCATACATATCAGTATAATGTTACGTTGTCATACGATAAGGATCACCTTCATAAAGTTTCGAACAGGAGTGTATTTGGATCGAATATCGGCCTTTACGTTAAGGCGGGTTCGAGTATAGTCACGCAGCTCTACTTGAGAAATGATAATCTCCACCTTGTTGATGCCATAGCCGTTGCCATTATTTATAATGATAAAGGTGAGTACCTTTTTTTTTTAAATTTATAGTATTTTTTCATTATACGCTACCTCGATGAAAATTCTACGCAATCCCCCTCTTCCCGTACTATAGCGGAAGAGATGTAGCGCGATCGGTTTGTGCACAAACTTAGCACTTATATTTCGGGTAGCGGGATAAGAGAATTAAAAAAAAATAAAAATTGTAAACGATCAGCAATTACTAAAAAAAATTTACGAGTTCGCTATATTTGTTCCACCAACTATACTTGCAGGTAACAATAGAGTGATGTAGTCACCGATTTGGGTTTGGTAGTCCACAAAAGTAATTTCTCTTATAAATTAAGAGCCCCTTTTACATTAATTTTCACATTTTTTTAAATTCTAAGGACGATTCTGGGCACTAGGATCCTAGCTGAATAGTGTCCATGGAAAGAGTTTATGTTCATGACTTCACTGGGTTTACCTCATTATATAGTTACCTTCAAATGCAATTGCTAAACGTCGATTTTCAGAATACAGTACGTGATTTGTCTTCGTTACATTTTACCACGATATTACCTCCTATCGATCTTTCTATTTTAAGAGAACTTCGGTTTTTCTGAGTACAATGATTAGTTTTTTTTACACTACTCGAAAGTGTAAAAAGTCCGAATATAATCGTTTGTATTAGGCAATTTGTATCTACCTCAATTATAACTGTATCACCATTCGAATACTTCCGTGTACCTATTTAAGTGTATATTTAATTTGCATATTTGTTTTTAATATTGGACTTCACACGAAAACCATTTAAATATACTTTTGGTAGAAACGATATCAATAACTAATTATTTGCTTATTAGATACACTAAAACTTTTTATTAGAATTTGCAGCGTTAGGGTTTCTTTCTGCATTGAAGTAACCATTGATATTTTAGCGTCTGATGAACTTAATGATCACACTGTATCTCTTGCATCAAACGTATAATGTCGGCTCCTTACATAATCAAGACTCGAAACTTTATCGTAACAATCCTCAAGGGTAGATCCTTCCTTAAGGGTAGATATACGGTGAAAAATGAGATACAGTGTATCAGAAATTGCGCGATGACTATTCAACAGCTATGAAGACGGAAACGAGATTTGCACGTAACGCGGATATTGCGTTAGCTCGATAATAGATTCTGTAACATAGAAAAACAGTCCATCAGTCCCAGCCACCAGCTCATTGTTCTCTTCGTAGCACCCGTACCGGGTGGATGCAACATGGAGTTCAATACGGAAATCGCGCCGTACGCGAGGCTACAGCTGCAGGACACGATGGTTGTTTTCGACACGCAACCAGCCTCGATACCATTTAACGACACCGTGAAGCCGTTTTGCGACAAAAATCCAGTGGAACACAGCATGTATCAGATGTTCATAACCGAGCAGGACTTTTCACCTGAATCCTACTTCATAGCTATTTCGAGTATGCTCACCGTGGATGATATCGTGGAGAATGGCCGAAAGGTACTTCAGTATCCTATCACAGGACAACACACAACATTGTTCACCTTCTTTCGTTATTCTTTAATCCTAATGACCTCGAATCCATACCCAAACACTCGACGTGTCAAAAGAAATTTTCAAGTTACAAAAAAAAAAAAAAAAAGAAGAATAAATACATTCGAAAGTTACATTTTGCGCTCCCTCTGTGTCTGTGATATTATTTGGACTATAGAAGTGCTAAGATCACGATCCCATACAGTACGTGAAATATTTACCAATAGGTCTCAAGCACCACGCTACTTTCTCCGATGAGAAAAGTCTTCAGCGCATACACCGGAACCGGATCTGTCTACGTCGCTGTAGCTACATACGGGAAGTTATCGACTGCATACGTACCCACCTTCTCCTACGCCTGCAGCCCTGTGCTTTACCCAGAATCCTGCGACGTGTTAAGTACGTTTCGTCGCGTCGGTTCTTTCGCAATTACCGTCATCGTCACGGAAACAACGTTTTTTAAACGTCACTGCCTCTTCCAGCTGATACTTTCCCGAAATTCATCTGCGCTGGCTGCTTCTTCTTGGGCCTCCTCTCAGTCTGCCTAGGACATTACCACCTTCCTATCGACCAGTCGTTGCCCATATTTTTCACTTCAACTATACTCGGTTACATGATCACACGTAAGTCTACTCTTACATAACTTTTTTCATTGAATTCATTTCAACGCCAAATTCTACCTTATTGGAACATAATTATTCGTAACAAAAAGAATTTTCATAGAGTTAAAAAAACAATATTTCTCCGGTTATAATCGCAATCAACTTTTTGCTTCTTTTCTGTAACATCCACTGATCGATGTTATTGCTCGGTTTTAAACGTATTATTCACGAAAACCTGAATGTGTAGAATACCTGTATATTATAAGGCAACTCGAGACACATGTTAGTTTATACCGAAAGGTTTAATCTAGAAACTATCATGATACCGTGTGTGTTTCGTTCGTTTCAGAAAACATCGGATGGGCCTTGCTAATAGGCCTTTTCGGCATGATCCTATGGCATTGCTTCCGCGTATGCTTCCCTATACTCGGCCTGGGTTTGTTCAACATCAGCCTAGGGTTCTTCTTCACCAACGTCGTCTACTTTCATGCACCAGGTATAAACAACGATCTCGAAGGAGTCGCGTGAAATGCTCTCGTGAATGTATCCGGAAATAAAGCATTCCGTGCGCGTGGCCCACGAGAGAGAGAAAGAGGAAAAGGGATTACGAGGGGTTGTAGCAAATTATAGGAAAATAATGAAAGCCGGCTTAAAAGCGGAGAGGAATAAAAGAAAAGGGAGGGGAAAGCGGGCTAGGAAGAAAGAGAGAGATAGAGAGAGAGAGAGACGGCTCGTCACCCCGAACCGAACCGAAGTTAGTTTGAGTTTGGCGAAGGGATGAAGCACAGTAAGGGAGAGAGAGTCCTCCCCCTGTAGCTTTTATCAATGTTGCCCGCTCATGTGGAAACTTCGCCTGCCGAATCCCCTCATGCAGCAGCAGCTACCACGCCGGGCATTCGCGTTGCCTCCTACCTTTCTCACCATAACGCGACGACCATCCTCTCCCCTAGCCACCCTCGCGCGTACGCACGCACGCATGCACGGTCGCGCGCGAAAAATTCGTCGTGTGCCGACAGACAAAAACCCTCGCGCGAGGCGACAGCCAACCCTCGACTCCCACGAATCGGTCTAACCAGCTTGGAAGATTCACATTTACCTAATTGTGTCCCCCCCCCCCCCCCCCATAGAACCAATGATCGGAGAACTGGTCCACCTTGTTAACTATCTCTGCCTAGTCTTTCACGCAGCTCGATCGTGTTCTTGTGGGTTGGAAGATGCTTATTTCCCGTCCTGAAGATAATTTTAGGTTATTCCTTTAGTGTTTGAAATTTTAATGATAGACGATGAGGAAATGATTGAACAAGCAGTTGTAGGCAGTGAAATCATAAGTGTTTGTATAGAGAAATGCGAAGAGTATGATGCTTGATGTAATTTAAAGTAAAAAAAAAGTAGTCGGTGGTTCCCTGCCCTGGTTTTTCGCGATATGTACTTCGACTACATTTTCTTTTACAGATTCTTTTATAATTCTCCAAAGCAATTGGGTCTTCTGGTCACTGTTTGCGTCAATGGTAGTTCTCATTTCGTTAATCATGATGTCACTGCATATCGTTGCCTGTGTCGTATCCTGCGCGATATATTCGTCGTACATGATGGTGTTGCCGTTAGATTATTGGGTCGGCTCCTCTCTGAAATACATCATTATAAATGTGATAAGAAGAGCGACCGTGGATGGCTACCAGGACGCTATTATTTCACCTCCTACTCAGGGAAAGGGTACGTTTCGGTTTTGTTGGTATTCCAGTTGTCTCATTTAACTTGGATTTCTTGATATCACTGTTAACGTTTACAAAACAGTTTCCGAAGACTATCGCTATTTACAGAATCACCTTCCGATTACCTTGATGATAGAAGTATACGATTGCATCACTATTCGAGTGTACTTCAGCTCATATGTTGTCAAATACCTTCTTTACAAGTTTCATTATTATTGAAATTCTGTGCACATAATTCCTTTCTTAAATGCTGTTTGATGTTAAAATAAATCAAGTCAAGTGGGACAACCAGCATATCAAATTTGTATTGTTTAGAACTGTACATGATGACAAGTTTTTTGTATAACTCCAGCATGTTTTATAACCATAAAAATAATTTTCTAGTTGTGTTCAATGAGTTTCGAAAGTTCAGCTTGCAACAATTTTTTCGTATCGTAATAAAGACATTATTACCGGGTTCCAGAGTTTACTGTGGACAGGGTTGCTACAATCAATAATGCGCTGTTAAATAGGCGCTATAATTTTAAAAGTAACGTTACACTTTCAGATATCGCCTTAATCTGCTTGTGGGTGTTGCTGGCAGCATATCGGTGCATAAAGGGATCTGTATCAGGTATATCTGGAGAGAAAATACCTCTTCTAAGCGACATGTAATCTGAATGATTGTTCTCGATAGTCGGAGCTCCACGAATGGAGAGTTAAAGTATAAACGATTCTTGTTGATTGTCATTTTGCGAATGTTACGTAACGAATGTTGGAATGCGATTAGTTTCGAAGAAGGCGAATTCGGCTTTTCGCCGAAGGCGTTACCGAATTTCGAATTCTAATTGGTTGTGCCCTGAAGGAGGAGGTAAACTCTTAGATTTTCCCGAGTCGCGTGCTAGTGGAAAACATCTTCTCCAGGGCGACGCGAAAACGATCTTAGGATCTTAATATATGAATTCGTAATGAAATTCGTTTAAAACATTTCTTTTTCGTTCGTAAAAGTACTAAAGACAAACTTTCTTTTCTTTTTTTAGTATATATTTTATGGTTCCTAATATATTGACTTTCCTAGGCTAAGAAGAGTCTTGCATGCAGTTAAGAATAAGTAAAGAAGGTCAAGACTTAAGAATGAACCATATATTATTTTACCCATTTTATTTACTTCCATAACCTAAGAAGAGATTTAGTCATATAATTAAGAATAAATGAAGAAGTTTAAGTTTAAACAAGCAATTACCAAAACATTCTAATGAGCTTCGTATGTTTAATACTAACACATTTTTAATTTATAATAATTCGTAGCATATAAATACCGTATTTCGAATATTTCGTATGTTAGTATGTCAGTATTTTTTCCGTCGTTTTATCATCTGTTTAAATGGAAAAGATACTGTCATTTTAAGAATGAATAAATATTTTCCAAAGAATTCTGAACTTCTATTTATGATCGACATGCAGGAGTTGAAAGTATGCGCTTTTCAGACAAGAAATTGATCAAATTAAATTTTTACCAATTTTTTTATTTTTCACCTTTCAAATTGAATTCTAAGAAACGATATTTCTGACGGAAACAAGTTTCTGTACATATTTCATACGGTTGATCAATTCAACTTCTGAGAGACTCATACGTAGCTAGAGGTCTAGGAATGGTGAGTTGAGATGTAACAGAACAGACGCCAAACGACTTGTGTAGTCATTAAAATGAATTAACATTTATTGAATCGAGACAGTGACACCTAACAATGGCTCTATATCCTACTACTTACAATCTTAAAGGTAATCACAGCAACAATATTATCTCCATTATTCACAACACTTACGTAGATTACTGTCGCAATAATATATTATTCTCGTTAATAAATTTGTTAATACTCATACACTGTATTCGTTATTAATAATTATTATTACAGATAATAAGAAAACTGCGTAACCACTTCCGCGCCATAGGTCGATTCACGAACGATCCACGAACGCGACGGATCGTTTCGATGCAACCTAGACCATTAACTAACAATAATTGTTAGTACAGTCGTGTAACCGAATACTGCCGAGGTTCAATACTGCCCACAAAATCGGAATTATCAATATTTTCTTTCATATAGGCAGTCTGTCGAAGGAAAAATAAAAGACTTAGCACTTATACGGGCTTCAACTTCCGGTTCGATTACCTTCCGAAAACATCGACACATTTTTGTCACTTAGATGACTTCATTTTTTTTCTTTTCAAACAGGAACGTCATTCACCAGACATCTTTTCATCTCTCCCGATAAAATAAAAAAAAAAGATATTTAATGAATAATTTAATAGATCTTCCTTCAAAAAAAATGAAGTCATCATCGACGACCCAAGCAACTATGCATGTTGTTTGCTAAGCGTCTGATTTAACATGGCGATAATTAGTTGATTCCCGTAGTGTCGCAGAAATGCTGTAGATCTATACTTCGCACAGACTATAAAATTGAGTTATTTACAGAAAAAAAACGATCAACCAATCATAATATAATTTTCGTATAGGCGGAACAGTAGGAACTGAATATAGAAGCAATGCTCTCTTGGACCTTTGGTTCTCGATGAGTGATGTCAACGAGGAAGTGGTACTATACGGATCCAAAAACGAAGTGGTATTTCGAAATCGAGGGGTCCCGAACGGTTGAGAGACGAAT